ACCTTGATATTAGCTGCACATCCGTGCTCCACAATGAAGAGGTCTGCTCCATCTACAGACAGCCGTGTCATGGTATACTTCAGGTCTTCTGAGGACCGACAAGGCCCAGGGACACAGGGCAGCTGAAGGTCAGAGACAGCATCACAAAACAAAGGTTGTAACACTGTTGATGAAGAACACCCAGCCTGACTGTTGTCAACTCCTTCTAGTAACGTAAAAACAAACTGATCCCATTAACATTTCCTAATACAATTCACAGAACAGTGGATATAAAAGAAAACTTAAATGGTTTACACTATTTACTACAATGTTGTGCATTTTGTTTAACCTTTATAGGTCATAAGATGAGTCCTGATAGAAGAAAAAAAAAAGGCTCACTAATAAACACAACAGGAGGTGTGAACCAATATATTTGTGCACCTTTGCTTCACAGATGCGTCTATCCACTCCATGCTGACAGATGACCACAGGTTTCGGTCTCTCAAGCTGGAATTCCCGACACACCACATGGAAAACAAATGTCTCCCCCCACTCCAACAGGCTCGCCAGCTGCAGGCCAAGAAGGCATTGGCAGCATGGTCAGAAGGCAGGATCGCAGACACAGATCAACGCACTAAAAACCTCTAATATTACCACACAGTCACACGCAGTCAGAAACCTGAAGCATGCTGCTTTATAATAAACCTCCCTTTATCTTTACTTCAATCACACCTTAACCACCCTCCGTCTCCAACTTGCTTTGAAATCTGCATGCCAATAAAACGTCATAATCAAAATACCACCCCACTAGTAATTTAAATTGCACCACTCCAGTAGGAGAGATCTATTTTCTGCTAAAATCATCTCAATTTAACTGATTTACTCATCACTGCATGACATATCCATTCCATTGTAACTCATTACTTACATATCTGCCCCCCGATGTCCAAATTATTAAATGTTTACCACTCTTGAAGGCATTGTTTTATTATATTTTGCCTCTTAGGCATAGTAGCTTTTTACAAAGACTTGTTATATTAATACCTGGAAATGGACTGATTTTATAATTCCTATATGGCATATATTTCAGACGAAACTCATTCACATAAGAATGGCACCTCTAGCCCGTTTGGCAATAAACAATTAAAACACAAATAAAACCTACTCTACTCATCTGTGGGCAAGTGCTTTCATTCAAAGCTATAGAACTGCTTTTTGAAAGTTGTTTCATTCTGCACGACTTCTCATTCTCAGGAATAGAGAGATGAACAGATGAAAGATGAATCTATATTTACTCCAGAAATATTATATCACAGCTAAAAGCCAAAAAACAAAAACTTAACTGATACAATGTTTTTTCCGAGTTACCTGGGGCATGGTTACTTTGGCTGTCAGAGCTCCAGCTTGAACATCGATCAGCCAGGCGTACTCCAGGGTGTCGCTCCCTAGGGGCAGACCTTCAGCTGAGAACATGGCATGGGCCCGGAGCTGCAGGCCTGACAGGCTGATGTGCCCTTCTCGAAGAACTCCATCTATGGCAGGCCTCTGTGGGAAGATAAGGAACCAAACAAGAGTTTTCAACACCATGAAATGCAAATGAAAACACAAGAATACTATAAAAAGGCAAGTCCATAGCCAGCATTATTCCAATCCAATTTCTTGGCAGGAACAAAGTTACAAACAAGAAAGTCCCTCCGGTCTCTCTGGCAGTTAGTATATTATTGAGCCAACGACCTTACCCCACTGTTTCTTGAAGGACCCTCAAGTCTCAGCTTCAACCACAAGCCTGGGTTGCTTGTTACATATACCTACAAAACTTTGGTTTTAAGTACAGTACCATGAAGTTTCCACCTTTGTTCTCTGGTTTGTGTTTCATTGATATTTTCTGAAGATGGATTTTGAACTCTTATACAAGTTCCCCTTGTATTCTTCTCTGTTCAAGACTAAAAACATTCAGTTCATTCAAGCCGTGTCACTAGTATCAGCTGTTGTCTCTTAAATGTGTGTTTTAGTTACTAATAAGTCCTACTCATCTCCCGTTTTGCTTTTTGTATCCATATTTTTCGACTGTTCACTTCTCAAACAAGACCTCAATTTTTAGTTACTCCATAAAAGCAGAGCAGTTCTACAAAGCATTTGCTTAAGGCACATGTTAAAATGTGTCACTACAATGACAACTCTATTGAAAGCCTGAATGTGCAGCAATTTTTACAGTTGGTTTAAAGTTACTAGTTTACTTATATATTTATGCACAATGCATTGGTCTTGTGAAGCACAGGTGAAACCCCTTATTATTTTGAAATTCCTGAATGTCATGCTGAAAGGCTTCATGAATTGCCTAAAATATGATTTTTTTTCTTTTTCAAACCCAGACATAAAACAGAAAAGAAACTACTTAGAATTTACTAAACCTAACACAAATAGTTTAATATGATTAACAGAGCACTTCTAAAACTGCCTTTCTTACAAGTATAAGCTAAATATAAAAATCTAAATAATGTAAGGAAATCAGAAATTTTCCTTTGGTATTATTTCCTTGATTTTATTTATAATTATAATCCATTTCAATAATTATTACTTAAATGCCATAACCGTATTAGCATGCAATGCAGTAATCCCCTTGATGACTCATTAAATGCATCAAAAGACGCAGTCCAGAATTTTCAAGGCTCTAGCAACATCTGCATGTTACAAATCAATCTTGCTAATTGAAAATTAGGGCACTTCAGCTGGTCATTCATAACCATCTAATTTAGGTAATTAAAATGCTTTTACATCTACATGTAAAATACATTTACATTTAAGATAGGCTGAATTAAATCATTTTTTTTCTTAAGGTTTACACAGTCAGCATGCAGAAACTGATAACCAAGAACTTAGAAAGGTCCCAGGGTAGCTTAATTTTCAGTAATTTGATAAATTCAGAGCACAGTTTGTGATCACTCAGTTCATTTATAATTGTAAGTAGAAAATAGATATTCGTGTTTTAGTATTCAGTTAAGCTACATTCTTAAACAATTACAGAGAGAATAAAAGCATTCAAAGATCAATTTACCATGTTGAAGGCATACAATCGTATTCTTATATTTCAGATTTAAAAATTATGTTCCTGTCATAATCAGACAACACCATGCTTATTCTGAAGGGACAGAGATTGAAGAAATTAGGCTCAAGTCTGAAGTAGTGGTTAAAATTCTGGACTTGGGATAATGCTGTACATTGGAACCCCACATGGAGAAATGCTTCTGTACCCTTGAGGAAGATATTACACCCTGATTGCTCCCGTTAAATGTTGTGCAATTGCAAAGAAATGTAAATGACTTTGGATAAAGTGGCAACAAAAAATTGTCATCATTTATGATCCAAAGCACAGCATATATAAAAAGATAGTTGTAAGGAAAATACAACCCTTTCCTTGTTTTACAGGACAAATAAAATATTGGTGCTCCCCCAGATGCACTCTGCTTTTCACTTAAATGTGAACCAATTGCTTTCCTGTTTATTAGCATGGATCAAAGTG